TATTATGAGGTGACTCCATTTTGTTTCTTTTTTAAATTTAAATTGTGAGCACATTTAGCTTACTTTTAGACCTGAAGACTATAAAGAATTTTTGTGGGGCTGGGGGTTTAGCTCAGTGGCGTAAGCACCTGCCTTGCAAGCAGGCAGTCGTGAGTTCGATCCCTGGTACCGATAAAAAGGAAAAAGACAAAAAAAAAAAAAAAAAAAGAATTTTTGTGGTAAGGTATAGAGAAAATGGAAACTGCGTTTTATTTTTAGGTACCTTGGGCTCTCCTATGCCATGCAGGTGGTGCTCCTGCTCTGGGCTGGAAGCCTCACTATTATTGGGGATCTGAGTGCCAGTGCAGTGTAAACTTTTGATTCATAAAGAATGTGCACAGGTGATAGGAAAAACCGGAGTGGCTCAGGCAGGCCAGAGCTGTGTCTCACCTCTCTAATAAATATCAGAAGATCCAAAATCCTTAGGTACCCTTTCTTTATTTATAGATTTTCCAATTTTTGTCAAGGGAAGAATAACCAATTGAGCAATACAATAATCTAGGGACATTTAGAGTAGATTGAATCATAACCCTGATTTTGCCTTGTAGCTGAAACAAGCAACATTGTCTCTTTACCTTCCTGGTCCGGCCAAACTGTAGGCTCAATGGAGGCTTTGGTGCCTCCCCTCCCCCCCCCCCGCCTGGGGGCCTGTGAGAAGTAGTGAGAGGAGCAGAAAGCAGCAGTTTCTATAAAATAACCTTTTAAAATCTGTAGAGGTCCAGATAGATTTGTCCTGGTTTTTGTTTCCCCTAATCTTGCTCTAAAGTGTTTTTCAGTTTCCTCCCAAGTATGTAAATTTACAATTTCTTCTTCTGGAGACAAACTCAGGAAATTTAGCAAGCTGTGTAGTGAAAGTCTGTTGACAACTAAAATTGATTTAAGAAAGCAGAAAGGACCTAATAAACGTAGAGTTACATTAAGTGCAAATTTGAAACAAGTACCTATGTAGTACACAATTTTGAAAAATAGAGTTTGAAAATTTACATTATCAGATATCAAGATCCACTACAAAGCCAGTGAGAATGATATGCTGGAGCCAGCCTGGTATCAGCTAGTGAAAGCCAAATGCTGAAAGTTTTTAAAAAAGGTTTTAAAGTTTAGCTGTTATCATATTGGTTATTTGAAATTGTCTTTTGTGAGAGCATTTTGTAAACAGAAATCAGCAAAACCCGAATAGGGACCATATTATCCCCCAAGCATTAGGAGCCTACTGCGCCCTTGCCGTCTTGAGGAGTTGTCACACCTCTACTTTTTGGCAGGGATGCCGCAGGTCCTGCTGAAAGTTTTTCTTTTGTAACAGTTTTGAATTAACATTGAGTGGCCCAATAACACCGTTGTCTACACTTTGGACAGAGAGTTGAAGGTTTTGTTGAATGGACAGTTAATGGCTCAGTTAAGGTTATCAGGGCGGTGGTCATGCTGCCATCTTTACCTTACTTGAGACTTGATTCTGAAACAGTGCCTGGAGCCAGTTCCATTATGGTTGTTTCAAGAAGCTTAAGGTTATTAAGACCCTGTCTAATCCAGATCCACAGAAGGAATGTAAATACTGGAATCAAGCATACAACAAATAGGTCCTTTGTGAATCTTTTGGTTAAGTTTGTCCTATAGTTAGACAGTTGATAAAATCAATATACCTTTTTATTTCTTTTCAGGGGAAGGGGTTTTTCTCAGGCCTGTTTACAACTGGCCCTAGAGAATAAGGGGATTTTAATGCCCCACTCTTTACACCTGATGAAGCCAGTATCAGTACACTCTAGTGATGACTATTGACCTATACCAATGCACTTTTCCCCCTAGTTGCACACCTGTACATGAGAAGTGTCCCCTTGCTGTCAATCTCTTACTCCATCCCTGTTTGGGCACCATATGCTGTGACCCAATGAGAAGTGTCCCCTTGCTGTCAATCTCTTACTCCATCCCTGTTTGGGCACCATATGCTGTGACCCAATGCAGCTTCTGAGGTTCTTGAGATTAAGGACCGGTGAGAGGATGAGAAAAACAAAGAAAAGACAAAGCTGGGGTCAGGTGGAGCCCTTATCCTCCTGATGGGAGGAAAGGAACTGCTCAACCACTGTAGCACCTTTATTTATATACTGGGAAAAATGATGTCAATTTCAGCCCCTTTTCCTAGCAACGCATTGCTTGGCAGGCCTGGACCCCTTGCCTTCTTGGTGTGGCAACAATTTGTTTGCATAGCTTGTTTTGGTCAGATTTTTCTGGGCTGGCCTTGTTTTAGCCCCACACACGTGATCAATCTCCAGCTTCAATGGCTCCCTACAATCTCTATGGAATATGGTAATGTCTATCAAAATTCAAATACTTGTACATCTAGTTTTTAACTGTGCCATTCTATTAGACATCTTATGTATAAGCACATTTTTTCCTTTTATCTGAGACAAGGTCTCACTATGTATTCCAGGCTGGCTGGTGTTGAACTCAAGGTGTTTCTCTTGCCTCAGCTGCCTGAGTGCTGGGATTACAGGCAGATACCATTATGCCTTGCACTTTATTTTTCCTTTATAATAACACTACCGTTTCATAAAACCTTAAAATTTTCCAGAGGGGCCATGTCAGACAATTGTTACTTACACCCATGCAAGAATGAAGAAATCGTATGAAAATAGGATAAACTTTGAGACACATACTTACTTGGAAAAATCAACAATATGTATATCCTACTACTTGGCTAAAAAAATACATTTATACTGCTCATATATTCATAAAAGTATCTACTAAAAACCCAAGAAATTGGTCACATCAATTGCCTCCAGGGAGGGGAAATGGGAGGCAAGAATATTTACTATACAACTTATGTCTCCTGAACATTACCAGAACTTAATGTTGATAGCATTTGACTTCATATTATTGTGCAACCCTGAACAAGTTGCTTGATCTGTTCCTCACTAATGAAAAAAAAAATTACTACTTGCGCATGTAGGGTTGTGAGAAACCAAATATCCCATCTCTAAAAATTTGGTTTTGTTAGAATTACACGCTAATACAAGAAACATTAAGGTAAATGGAAAGTTTGTGGGGTGGGTAGGGAGTGTCTTAGTGACACTTATTACTACCTTGGTTTTCTCTTTAGAAAGGGAAAGTGACACTAATCTACCTGGAACCCAAGGACACTTACCACTCAGCTATATCCCACTTTTTCTTTTTGACAGGTCTTGCTAATTTACCGAGGAACTCTAATTTGCAACCCCCCACATCCTGGGATTTAGACAAGTATAAACGCACCCAGCTTTTAATTTTTTTGGATACAAGGTTTTGGTCTGTAGTTCAGGCTGGCCTAACTTGCAGTGATCTGCTGGCTCAGCCGCCCAAGCAGTAGAATCAGTCGTGGGCCACTACACCTAGCAATGTTGGTACTTTTCAGGCTGGCCTTGGGCTCACTTTGTAAGTCCAGGCTGCTCTCAAACTCCCTCAATCTCCTAGAAGCCAGGATTACAGGTGTAGGCTACCATACCCAGCTAATGTTGGTACTCCTACCATTATTAAGTTTGCTTTGAAGCACACTATTAGGACTAAAAAATGACAAGATTAACAGAAGGCCCACTAGTTTTAGGTTAGTAAACATTTATTCCTTTACTTGAAGTTCTACACACAGTGGACATGTATGGGCCCTTTGTTCATTAAAGCTCAGGTCTCAAGGTTTTGTCTGTTAAAAACGTTTCCTGAAAAATCAACTGACCCTTTTGAAGCCCCCATAGAAAAAAAAAGTACAGGGAAAGCATCAATTGTATTTTGAAGGAAGACAACCCCCTCCCCCATATTTTTAAGTTAACAAAACCAGAATTTTAAAGTTAAAAGGGAAATTTCTTCTGTACTTCTTCCATACTCGAATTTTACCTGTGAAATAGTACACATCTACTGGAAAACAAAACAAAATTGAAAGGTGGTCTTCTGGGGCTGGGGATTTAGCTCGGCGGCATAAGCACCTGCCTTGCAAGCAGGCGGTCGTGAGTTCAATCCCCAGTACCGATAAAAATGAAAAAAAAAAAAGAAAAAAAAAAAGAAAGGTGGTCTTCTGTAAGAGTAAACTCTTGAAAAGTACAGGAGTTTGATTAGGGCTGCGAAAATTAAGAGATTAAAACACATGAACTTGCAGTGACACCCAACTGACTTAATGGCCAATATTTTCTCCCATGTGAATATATAGGATTCAAAATACTCTAAGGTATTTATTGAACGGCCAGTTGAATTTCCCAAGGTAGCATTTATCACAAGTTTGTAAGTCTTAGGTAAATTTATTTACCTAATAGTTCATAGCCATGAGCTTCAAGACATACCAGTGTAACCATTACTAATGACTACTATCCATCAAATCTGCAATTTCACAAAGTCAAATTATCAAAAGTTTTAACACTTCATGTGAACTTACTTGGTACTGTGGAGACTTTGGGAAATTTTGTTGAGGCTAAGATGAATTCATTTCCAAGAGAAACCTCTTACAACACAATTTTCTTTTGAGAATGTTGTTTCCAAATATTCTTTCAAAAGTATCAGTTGTACAAATGGGAACTGCAGATTCAACCTGAAAAGTTCTAGTTGAGCTCCCATTTTTTGTACATATAGTCAGGATACAGGGGTATCTGATTTTAAGTTTGTATTTGTCAAATTCCAAAAAAACCCAGCCACTTCAAACCAGCAGAGTACTGCATTATCCCAATATAGCTGTAGCTTTCATTACATGCACCTAACAGATTTACAGGGTTAGTTTTAGAACTTCTCTTTTAAAGAATTTATTTTATACCTATTATACCACAGCATGTTTCAAACACTGACATATAACTCCCTAATCTAATAAGATAAAGACAAAAAAAGCTTATCTTATTAGAAACGATACACCATTACTTAGTCTTCAAACATTATTGCACTTTAACTTCCATTTGACAAAACATTCATGAAATAATCAGTAGACTACTTAACAGACAACACCTTTAAGCACACAGGACTGACCTAAATTATTTATTAGGTTATGAGTTTTACAAACATCACTTATATTAGCGGTAACGGTGGAGCTGAAGAGTATTGCGCCTTCTCCAAGCCGCACGGCGAGAACCACCAATAGTGTGGTGGAACTTGTGGCCCTTTCCAAGGCCACGACTCTTGCGACCTGCAGATGTCAGCCCACGCATCTCCCTGTGCTTATGGACTGGTTTGGTGATCCACTGGGTATCAGGATTTCTTCTAATGGCTTTGTGGAACGGATCAATGAGGATAACCTCAAAGAATTTGTATGTGGAATCTTCACCAACCCAATAGGAATTGAGAACTCTTAAAGCCCCACAGTGGCGTCCAGCTCGCTCCTAGAACAAGAAGAAAGGCCCAAGATCAGCCTCAAATATTGTTTATAATAGTGAATTAGAATCCTAACTAACTCACACGAAGATAGAGGCTTTACACTTAACTCATGAAATTAAGTAAGGAACTTCCCCCTCAGGGAAGTCTCCTATATGCATTCTGTAAAGCACTCTTATCACTGTACCTACATCTGCAATCCTGTCTTCTAATAAAACAGACATCAGTACAACCTTCAAGTGCTAGTACACATTTTAAATTCTGGAGTGAGAAGCTGAAACAACATGTTTATGTGTACATATATTAAAAAAAATAGTTACTACTGATTTCTTTGAAGACAAAGATTTATGCCAGTATTGTTTGGACAAATGAATGCATATGTCTTATGCTCTGGAAGAATGACTTGGGGATGACAATGCATGATGTATGTACCATTGTTGCCACCTGATTGACATGTTTTAAAATTTTTATTTTTTCTATTTGACCTTGAAATAAAATAGATTAGAAAACAAAAATTCTGTAAGCACATCTGGTCTCTTCCAAGTAGTTTGCTAACTAACCTATCAGCAGATCACAGCTTATGAACCCAAGAGCTAACCTGCCAACTGACCACTGAGATTAGTAACACAAACGTAGAATCTAAGTGTGCTAAGATCGTGTTACTACCCTTCAAAGTGTGGATTCCACAAATTCACAAATCATAAAAACTCTCTACATAAATATGGATCAGTAACAAAGACTAACAGTTAATTGGGGCCAGGGTTTTGGTTCAGTCAGTGTCTGCCAAAAAAAAAAAAGGCTGACAGTCCTAACAGCAACCACTCTTTGGCCAAGATTACAGTTAAACCTGGTGTTATAAACTCTAAGCTTCCATAAATAAATTAGAAAAGTCGTTCAAATCCTACTCCTAACAAGTGATCAATACAGTTGCTACTCAAAACTATTTACCTCAGCAACAGACTGAAGGCTGCGTGCGAACTTTAGCTGGTTAACACCATGATGGACAGGCTTGCCATAAGTTGCTCCCTTAGGAACTGGACGTTTGCGACCACCCCGGCGCACACGAATCCTGTATATGACATAACCTACACACACAAAAACACCATTGAGACTTGCTTTTTAAAAATCGGAGGTTTACAAAGGAGGTAGACTATTTTGCACATTTGGAATCTACACACTTGCCCCCTCAGACGACAGTACATAACCTAAGTCGTCTCTGCGCATGCATTACTAGTAACACTGTCCTGTCAAAACATTATGCCAAGGAAGACGCTGGGACCAATGCAGCCCTAATCACCGGTTTCTAGCCTTTCTCGACATATACACAATCATTTAACCCCTAATTCCACGAAGTGAGATTCGCACCTTGTTTGGCCTTGTATCCCAGCCTGCGAGCTTTATCCGGCCGGGTGGGGCGGGGAGCCCTGTGGAGCGCAGAGAGCTGGCGGTACTGCCAGCAGCGGACCCTCAGAAGAAACCGCATCACATCGGACTGCTTCTTCCTCCAGAGCTCTTGGATGTACTTGTACGCACCCATCTTGGCTTACCTTCGAGACAAAGCCGCGTATGAAAAAACAGCCCTCGCCTTAAGTACACTGACACTATATCCATCTTAGCTCCTACTATCCGAAGAAAAACGCTGGGAATAAAAATGGCTTTGCATATGAAGTGCAGGGCGCAGGACCTCAACCCCCATCTCCGCGCCCAAGGACAGCCACCCAGCACGGAGCAGCCGTAAGCACTAGGCACGTTTCTGGTCGAACTGAACAGAACTAGAGCTGTGCACTAACAGGGAGAGTGGCCAAGGCCAGCGGCTCGTCACCAAAGGCCCAGCTCGCAAAGCGACGTCGCAGACACCACAGGAAAAGATAGCATTACTGTCACACACGAGGGTAACCTCTCTAGGAAAGCTGACTTACTCCTCCCCAGCGAGCCAGCCTCGCTTTTGGTCGCCCGAGGCCTAGCCTCCCATCCTTCCGCCCCATGCCTCCTTCAGGCTTTGCGGCCCAACTAGAATTCGAGCCGCCATCGCATCTTCCCAACCCGCCCCGGGGGACGCCTCTCCATGTTCTTGAGGCCCCGCATCTTGACTATACTCTGGCCGCACAGGAGGCAGGAGGAGTGCCCAAAACACAGTGTCTTCAAGTTCGGATGGCTAAGACAGAGAGCGATTACAAACGGATGGAAGAGCGACGATTCAGGACCAAGCTTACCAGATGGCTGCCGCCAGACGAAAAGGAAGAAACCTTTCTCCCACAATCCCTTTTGGGCTCCTCCCCCACTCTAGAGAGCCCTTTTCCGGTGGAACGCCGCAGCCGCCCAGGGCCTCATGGGATATGTAGTTTGGGCCTCAAATCCGGTGGGCGGAGTTTGACAGGGATTGGGCGAAATCCCTTGTTTCCCGCCCCTTGCTCTTCTGGATTCGCGCCTGAGAGGCGGGGCGGCCCGCGGGTGTGCGTAGCCAGGTCGACAGGGTGAGCTAGCGGTCTCCTCCAGCTACCCTGAGCCGGCAGGTTGGGGGCGGGGCTTTAAAGCCTGTGGCGGCGGATCGTGGGGGAGCCGCGCACCCTGCGCGCTGTTATCTGCGGGCTGGGCTGCAGCGTACAGGTTCGTTCACTCCGCACCAGGCAGGTCGTCGCAGGTTTCCCTGAGCGGCACTCGCTCCCTCCCTCCTCGGTCGGGAAGGTTCCCGAGCCCGGGGCTAGGCCTTCGTGGTGGAGCGTCGCGGGCGGGGCCGTCCCTGCGTCGCCTCGCGGGCGGGCTCCGAGGGAAAGGGTGGGTGCTGGCGGCTTTAGTGTCACTGCTTTTCTGTAAATGCGGTTCATCCCAGCTTTGCTAACGTCGGGCCAGCCTTTTTTTTCCTTTGAAAAGCAAAATTATTTATTTGCCAGAGCTGTTTTGGCAGGCGCGAATGCTTTGGGAAGAAGTGCCAAGAAAATGCTGGCATTTTGCGTTGCATTCTAGGCTGAAAAATAGTTCCCTGGCTTTTTTGTATTTTCAGAATATTTTTAATACAGTCGTGTGGTTTTAATTCCCTTCCTAATTCTACTGTCACGTGTGCCCGAGGCTTAAGAGAATCATATTTACCGTGTAAATCAGTTGGTGAATTTTGGGCTCCCCGCTTTCATGTTTTCCATAAAACAAACCAACGGCAGCTTTGCCATCGTAAGACTTCTCCCCTAGTTCATTTATTCTCCCAAGTATGCAGTACATTAACTGGCTGATACTGCCAGGCACTGTCCTAGTTGGGGATGTCGCACCAAATGCAGAAATCAAAGCTTTCTCGGAAACTATAAACTTAAGAATCCCAGGTGTTCTGTTTGTGGTACACGCTCAAGGCAGTTGTCGATGAGAGCAAAGGGTGGAGGGCGCTGGGAAGAGGGCTGCTGCATGGAGCGCTGGGACTGCCTCGGCTTTGGTCCGCACCGCGCACCGCCTGCCGCTGCACCTTGCCCACGTAGCTGGCTGCTGGGTCTGGGGGGTTTTTGCCTGGGACACGCAGGAGGGCAATTGACCGCCAGTTCGGGGCCTCACCTGTTTATCCTTGAGCAAGCCTGGTGGCAGTTGCAATTGTGACTGTTCAGTGTCAGTGGTGACATTTGGAGAAAACCTCAAGCCTGGAGTGTGGGGTAGAGTGCATTTTAACCTCTTCAGAGCTTGAGGCCAACCCTAGCACCAAATAGCAAATAACCCCCTCAAGAAGTGAGCAGGCCTGGATGAAAGGTGGTGAATGCATTCGGGCCAAGGGAAAAGTGACAACGCTGAAGTATGTTAGGACTTATAAAGAAACACAAGGAACCCTGTGGGAAAGCAGGATTGGATGTGAGAGAGGTAAAGGTTATATATGGACTTTAGATTTCAAACTGCCTAAGATCGGAAACCACTGGGAATTTATATTTATAAACCTATGGCTTAGATTTTAAAAGGGTAACCTGGGTTGCTGCTTGTAAGCTAAAAGGAAAAAGATGGAGCAGAGAGACTAGGTTAAAAGCAAGTTGCCTCTAGGCCTGTGTTCCTTCTGAATGTAGTAGGGACACAGCTTCCTGCCTCATTCCTCTACTTCCCATTCACTTCCTCCCTGTACTATCTGTCTGACCGTAGTGACTGTGTTGCCCCGTGCACTCCATAATGTAAGGATAGTCTCTTTATCGAAAGATTACTTAATTCAGTTACATATGTCAAATTTCTTTACCATGAGAAGAAACTACTAATAGATCTGGGGGGTTAGAATAAGGACATCTTTGGAAGACCAGACCAGATGAGAGAAGATAGGTGTCTCAGGCCATTTGAGTAGTGGTGAAGACAGGAATCCATGAGGCCTGGGTATATCTCAGAGATATACCCAGATTCACTGAGGGATCAAGATGTGGCGTTTAACACAAAATGAAGTTAGGGTGACTGCCTATTTGGGTGAATCGTGGAAAGATGATGTGGGCAATGTGAATAATTGCTGTTAATGTATTAGTTGGTTTTGCAGTTTTGTTTTTCAACTTGCAGTTTCTCAGCAGCTTAGCGGGATTTGTATTTGTATTTCCATGTGATTGTGAATTCTTGAAGGCAAGGACCATTTCTGGTTTCTCCCTTTCAGGAGTTTGGTAGGCCCTCGCTATGAAGTAAAAGAATGGTAAGCTGGAATTGTGTATTATGCTTTACTACTTGAAGTACTTGTACTTGCAAGACCCTTTAATATGTTTATCACTGTAAAGATATTTACATATGAACAAGTTGAAGTATTACCTGCCATAATGTTTATGTAAGTAAACGTACAATGTAGAAGTTTCATTCACCTGATGCTATCCTTTTCAGAAATTTGTAACATCTGTCCTGTGATATTTTTTCTTTTCTTTTTTTTTTGTCTTTTTGAGACAGCATCCACTATGCAGTTGACAGTGGCCTTGGGCACACTTTGTAGCCCAGATTGGTCTTTTTGTTTTTTAGTTTTCTGTTTTACTTTTTCTTCTCATTGTGACTAGCTGCTGCTTCCCTTTAGATACAGTATAATTCCACCCTTTTAAGATGCTTGAGTTTTTAATTAATTATTTATTTATTTAATTTATTTCTGGGAGAAAAAATAAAACAAAAACAAAATTTCAAAACACATCAATTGGGGCAACAATTGCCTCTTGCCTTAGCCTCTGGAGTGCTGGGATTATAGGAGTGCTGCCACCACGCCCAGCATCTGTGATGTGCTTCTCTTGTGTTTCAATATTATTATTTTTTGGGGCTGGGGATTTAGCTCAGCGGCATAAGCGCCTGCCTTGTAAGCAGGCAGTCGTGAGTTCAATCCCTGGTACCGATAAAAACGAAAAGGACCAAAAAAAAAAAAAAAAGAAAAAAAATTATTTTTTGTTTTTGCTTTTTTTGAGACAAGGTTTCACTATGCAGTTCAGGCTGGCCTTGAACTCACTTTGTAGCTGAGGCTGGCCTCAAAGTGGCTGCAATCCTCCTGCCTCAGCCTTTCTCATGCTGAGATTATAGGCGTGCACTACTGTGTTTAGCTCTGATGAACTGAGAAGAATATTGATAAGGTTCAGTATTTTTCATGAGACTGGACCAAGAAATGTGTTTATTTTCTAGCAGTATTGTTGATTATCCTATAAAGCAGATAGCTTCAGATCTTGCCTATTAAAGATGTTCTCTTAGTTGTTTATGTCAGATGAAGTTTAATGGGTCACAGGTGGAATTTTATTGTCCAGCAATCTCTTACTTAGGGGAAAGAACTATAATGAGAAACTGTGAGTACTGCATTTTGTTTTAGCCTCAGTGTTGGTACATGTTCTGGATAAGCAGTTTCCCCTTTCATGGTATGACAGATTCTTTTTATTGCTGTTGTTTGCTTTGATTTTGTTTTGCTTTTTGAGACAACTCACTAGGTAGTCCAGGCTAGCCTTGAACTCAGTGATTCTCCTGCCTCAGCCTGCTGAGCTGTGGGTTACAGTTGTGCACCACTACCTTCAGCTAGTATGGCAGTCATGAAAGGAACCTAAAGGTCAACTGTTGACTCTGTGCCTTTCCAAACTCTTGACACTGGATTTAAGAGGCTTGGGCATGTCCAGGAGCTCTTCATGTGATTCATTGCTTTTCCAGGGGGCTTTTCCTGCAGTCACAGGTGAACTTTTGTACATTTGTGGTATTTATATTATGTTATAATGCTTATGGTATTTATAATCACTTCAGTACTGTATTATGAAATGTAATGCTTGTAGAACTAAGCTTATACTGGGAATTAAAATCAGGGCCTTTGCACTGAGCTACATCCCTAACCCTTTCTGAATTTTTTTACTTTGAGACAAGGTCTCTCTACATTGTCCATGCTGAGTCTGAACTCGTCTTCCTACCTCAGCCTTCAGGAGCACTGGATTATAGCTATGTGCCACTATGCTCAGCTGGTAGTTTTTATTGGTAAATAATTGATGTTAGCTGGTAAGTAATCTGCTTTCCCTTTTGGAAAACAACTAGGAACCTAGAATATATGAACCATGCTTTGATTAATCACTTATGTTTTCATATTTGTTTTCCTTTTGATAGTGTGAAATATTTATTGAGGTCTATTCTATCCTTTTCCTTCTTAAATAAAAATCTTAAATTTCTTAATGAGTGTGATTTGTATTTGTGGACGTTGTTTGTTTTAAGATGGAGTTTCGCTGTGTTGTTCAGGCTGGTGTGAACTCAAGTGATCCTCCAGTCTCAGCCTCCCATCTAGCTGAGACTACAGGTGTGCACTGCCATGCCTGGTTCTTGGCTGGTGTTTTGAGCTACCTTTACTCAGTTGCCTTTAGTATTTGCCCTTGATGAGATCCTTTTCTGGTAGTCTCAAAGTGAACTCCCCTTTTATTTGTGTATATCTACACACAAATACAAAATAATAATACATTCTTGACTAACTTTTATCTGTCAGTCGTGGCATCAGTAAACCATCAAAGTACAACCAAAGGCTACCTTTTAAGCAGATATTTTAAGATGACTTCCAGCGTCTTTGGAGTACAACATTTGATTTCTTAGTTTCTCAGGATTCTTTTGGCATCCAATTTTCCTGGTTTGCTGCAGTCCCTTACACCAATGCTTGCTTCCTTTTACAGAGGGCTTACTGTTGTGAATCACTGGGTTTTGTTTTTTAGTTTTCTGTTTTACTTTTTCTTCTCATTGTGACTAGCTGCTGCTTCCCTTTAGATACAGTATAATTCCACCCTTTTAAGATGCTTGAGTTTTTAATTAATTAATTATTTATTTAATTTATTTCTGGGAGAAAAAATAAAACAAAAACAAAATTTCAAAACACATCAATTGGGGCAACAATGGTAAATAATTGTGCATTATAATCCTCAAATTATTCACCCAGAGCACAAGACATCTGTATTCAATTGTCCCAACAATACCAGCACAGATCTTTCTCTTTAGTGAACTCAGAGAAATAGGAATATAACTATCTTAGTTTTTTGTATATATACACATATGTTGTTTCATTCAGCTTCTCACACTAGTGAGACAGTACCATGTTTACACATGAGAGTAAGATTTATTTCATTTATGAGTATGGTTTCTAGTTGTATCCATTTACCTATAAAAGTCTTCAGTTTATCCTTTGTGGCTGAGCGGTACTCCATTGT